TTATTTAATCAATTATCATTTAAACTTGATCCATTATATACACAAGAGCCAAGATTAATTAATTTAATTATATTTGAAAAAAACTAAACTTTATTTTAATTAAATGACAAATTGAAATAAATAAATAAATTATGAAAAGCAGAGTCATTCAAGGCAGTACAATTTAGAATAGAAAGATTATTATGAAATGATAAATAACAGCAAGTTTATACAAACACTGAGTGGGGAAAAAATCCAAGAAAATGGTAAAAACTTTCATTGAAATAATGATTCATAATTGGTTGCTTGACTTATTTCCCTCATTACAGCAAGAGCTGATCTCTAGAGAAGGGGAAAAAAACAATTCCTCGTTAAAAGATGGAAATGAAATTTAATTTATTGAACAAAGTAAACAATGACCTGTGGTCACTTGTTAAAAATTCTGCAGAAAGTCAGCTGATACAAAAATGATAGGCATGTGGGACAATACTTTATATTTCATCGTCCCCATCTTCCCATCATAATTTTTAGCATCAGCCTTGACCTACTTTATATTTAAGTTCAAGGCTGATGAAAATGAGACAAAATGTCCAAATCCTTTATCAAATGTTTCCCAGTACCTCACCATGAAAAAATACAATTACAGAACAATTGAGTAAATCAAGATTTAATACTTGTCACTAAGTACTGTAAAACATTGAGAGCCTACGTTTCATAAAAAAAAAACCCCAAAAACTTTAAATAAATGTTCATTTCAGATACGATGAAAAAAGGGATGAGAATAACACCTTGCTAGCTAAGATGTCTGTGTCAGTTTGCTATAACTAAGTTATCAGAGTTTCTTCAACACCTCACTAGTCATTGAATCAAACAATGAAAATAAAAAATAACTATTCAAACAAGTTTAAATCTTGTGATAGTTAACAAGAAATGGAAAAGTTTGACCAAAAATCTCATGGAACAAATATTTGTGGCATGAGTGATAGGACGGATGCATTTTACTAACTTCATAATTTAAATAACATTTATGAAAGAGTTGAAATGTTAAAAAAAAAAGCAAGAAAGAAGTGATAATAACCACAACAACATTTGATAATATTCTCTGTTGACAAGATTCCGTGCTTAAGGTACGTCAGAGTAGTTGTCTTCGTCATCCTCATCATCTTCACCTTCAGAATCGTCGTCATCATCGTCATCATACATGGGCTGGATGAATAAGATTTAAAATAAATTTCACTAAAGATCGCTCCTGGAAGACTAGATTAACCAGATCAAACAAGTAGTTTGCAATCCCCCACTTTCCATTTTATATGCAGGGTTAGCCAACTCAAAACAATTTAATAGCTCTTTCATGTAATGCAGTGAAATCAGGCTAAATCCATCAGCTGATTAACTTGTGCTAGCAATCATATCAGGACTGACATTTTTATACAGATAAATTACATTATTAAATATTTAAAATCAAAAAAAAAAAACCTGAGGTTTTATATTTAAAGCTATGATGGTCTAAGTAGCCAGTAAGAGTGATAATAAATTAAAACCAAGAAGTGGGTTTTTATTCTTATGGGGTAGTTACAGTTGCTGTGAAATTGAAAATAAATTGTGAAAATATTTATTATTGTTTGTTCTACAATAACAATCCATTCCCCCACATTTGTATATAGTAGCGTGTAAATAATTGGACAATTTACATTAAATTGTACACAAGAAGTGTTTTAAATTATTTCTTCTTTAATTACAATACATTGTGAGATGTGATACACTTTTGATAAAGGAAAGCCCATCTATTGTACAAATTAATGTCATCAACAAGTTTGCACCAGACAAGCTTATTTTCAGGACAATGATCTATTGCCAGTCTACTGTCCCACATCTGAGGTTATCCACCTTTCTCAGTTGAAGTCCACAAATGCCGTGCCACTGAGCAATTTACTTCACTATCCCCAAGAATGTGAGTGTTTCACTAGCTGTTCAGGGAACTTATTTTAAAGTGCATCTTTGGTAGGGCCTACAAATCATTCCCTGCATAATTTCAAATCTGGTCTAAAATTTGTTTAGATTTTTTTTTATAAGGGAGGTAAATGCAAGCAACTATTTCTGTATGTTTAAACTGCAGTTTGTTAGTTCTTTTCTGGGATAACTACGAGCTTCAACAAAGATTAAATATATTATATGTTCATCTATGAGCTTCAACAAAGATTTAATGTATATGTTCACCTATGCCTATGAGCTTCAACAAAGATTAAATATATATTTTCATTTATGAGCTTCAACAAAGATTTAAATATATATATGTTCATCTATGAGCTTCAACAAAGATTAAATATATATGTTCATACAGATTTTTAAGTTATTGAATATATGAGTGAAATATAATTTATTGCAGCACTATGTGAAAGAAGCAGCCGATACTTATTTTAATTTTACATTCAAAACTCAATAAAATGACAAGAATGGTAAAAATCGGAATGAACTGCAAACATCTGAACAGAGATGCACAAAGGAAAAGGGCTAAAGTAATGCAAAAAAAAAAAAAGTAAAGCAAATTACAGAAGACCTTATCCATTTCATTGGCTGTTATTTTTAAATTCACAATCCAAAAATTTATACACCTTTAATATTATTTTAATTTTACATTCAAAACTCAATAAAATGACAAGAATGGTAAAAATCGGAATGAAATGCAAACATCTGAACAGAGATGCACAAAGGAAAAGGGCTAAAGTAATGCAAAAAAAAAAAAGTAAAGCAAATTACAGAAGACCTTATCCATTTCATTGGCTGTTATTTTTAAATTCACAATCCAAAAATTTATACACCTTTAATAAATTTAAAAAAAAAAGAAAATGATGAAGAAATGTTTTTAATTGCGTAATATCAATGCACGGATGTAACTTGTATTTTTAAATGTTGAGCTCAACATTAACAGATGAAGCAACTTCAACTTTACTTACAACAAGCGTATTTAAATGGACATTAAATATCTGGTTACTCTTAAAAATCAGATTCCTTCATTCTTCTGAAAGGCACTATCTGAAAGATTTTTTGGTCAAAATAATATAATTATTTAAAATAAAATAAAAAATAATGGCTCACCAACTGATGATGATGAGCAAGCTTCCAAGATAATGCTCAATGGTTGCAATGAGCAAGCTACCAAGATAATGCTTAATGGCTGCAAAGGGGAATCTATCAAGGTAATACTTTATGGTTGCAAAGAGCAAGCTATCATTATAATGCATAACAAAGCAGATCTTGGAAGCTCATTACGCACAAAAAGAATCTGGGGAAAAAAAGAACATCACAAAAATGTTGTTTTGTCCTTTTATTGAAAATGAAATCTAAAATGCCAGGCAGAAACTCACCCCTTGAATCCCAGGCCTCTGCGGCAAGGAGTACATGGTACTGTACGGCTGTGATGAGGAGCTGGTCATGCCCCCAAACGTTGGTCCGGGCTCAAAAGATGACACCGTTGATGTTGTCTGTGAAAAGGGGCTCATCGGTCCAGAAATATCCATCAGCGCTGCACGAAATTGCTGAAAAACAAAAGATGGTGTGTATGACATTAGTTATCAATTTCGCGTAATTTTTGTTTGTTTGTTATCAATTTCTCGTAATTTTTGTTTGTTTGTAAATTAAAGTAAAAAAATTTTTTGGTTTAAACCCCACAAATAATAATGGCACCAGTTCATCAGTGTTTATATTCAGTGTTGAGGAACATTTGACGAAAATGAATCTTAATTTGAATCTGATATTAAAATATTAAAACCTTTTTTTATAGTATACAGGTTTTTGGGCACAGACTATTCTTTAAGCTATGTTCACAATTCCTATTTGTTGCAGCCACATATTCCACTGGTGACTCCATGTTAAGAATCTGCTGACACAGATATCCCACATAAATGTTAACACCTAGCAGCCTATTTAAAGTAATAAATTCCAATTTTTTCTTTTAAAATTTGGTTTTACCAATAACCACCAATACAGGCAAACACAGGTAAAGTTTAAACAAAAAATAAATAATTCCTTAATTATTTACAAACAAACAAACAAGACACTGTTTCTTTAGTCTTCTCTTGCCTTGCCCACTCCAATAAAATTAAACTTAAATTTATATCACAAATGTTAATCTTCATTTGAAAATAAACAAGGAAGCTTCAAGCTTACTATATGTCAGAAGTTTAAATTTTGTGTCAGTTTCCATGCAGCAGATTAAATTTAAACTTTTTGCCAGTGTCCTTGGAACAGATTAAATTAAAAAGTTGTGTCAGTTCCTTGGAGGTTTAGATAGAACAAAACTTTTTTGACACATTCAATCTTTGCAACAAATCTTAACTCCAGAACTCCCCAGCATTCCCTGTTACTGTTACAGTGCAGAGCTTGCTGGCTCAGCAGTCTCAACTGGGTTCAAACCAATGCTTCTGGACTTGAGTTCAATCCATAGTAAAAAATTAAACAAGTAAAAGCAACACCAGCACACCAGGTGGATGGGACCTGTTAACCTTGGATGGCAGCTCATCTAAGTGAAGGAAAACTCTAAAATCAAAGCCAGAGATGGAATCCCATTGGCTAGATGAAAATTCAGACAACTCCTGTGAAGTGGAACGCATTTGGAGCCCAGTGAAAGACAGGAAAACACTGCTGGTCATCTACTGCATCCTTGCTATTTCCATTCATCCTGACCAAGTCTTGCTATTGGATCATACAGGCAAGGACGAGAGAGTGAGGCTTAAGAATTGAACAACTGTCCCTCATTTTAAACAAAATATAGCTCAAGTCAAGACTATTGCTCAAGTCGAATGATGCCTTAGCATTTTCATGTGCCAAGGATGAACAATATAATGCAGTACTATTAGAGTCACTTACATCCATGTCGGCATCCTCATCAATTCTCTGGGCTGCTTGGTAACACTTTGACAAATACTTGAGAGCTCTGGCATGAAACATCATCTCTATTTTGACATATTCACTGAGAACTGATTAGAGTCACTTACATCCATGTCGGCATCCTCATCAATTCTCTGGGCTGCTTGGTAACACTTTGACAAATACTTGAGAGCTCTGGCATGAAACATCATCTCTATTTTGACATATTCACTGAGAACTGACTGGAGGGGGGAAAAAAAGTCATCACTCACCGCTGATTTTTGTGATTGAAAATAACTAAAATGTCTTGTGTTTAAATTGTTTTAATTCAAAGATGTTGCATTGGTAAAAATATTCATCTATGTTCTGAAAATGAATATGTACATTGTTATAAAAAAAAATTCCATTTATTTGGGTCAATAAAGAATATTATCTTGTCTTATTGTGAATGTGAATGTTAATTTTATTTCCAAAGTAATAATTATTACAGTTTAATAACTTGTAGAAAAAGGTTTCTTTCTTTATATTCATATTAATGAAAAATATAATGTTTGTTACAGCCTTGCTAAAAATTAAATTTTCATGATAGACAATTAATGCATTACATCTTACTAAGCTTCATGAATGCCAGGTGCCAAATTCCCTTTCTTTAAAATCTATAAGAACTTAAAAGACAGAAAGGACTAAACAAACTAGCCAATAAACTTTATTCTATAATTTTTTTAAACATAGAGAAAATATGAAGCAGCTTAAGATCTCGTTTACATCAGTTCCTTTTTAATAACATTTGAACTACCTTTAAATCTGAGATTTTCTCCTTTTCAAATCTATCCATTTCACTTAGCAACTGTTCCTGGAAATTCCCACTCACTTGTCTCATTCTTTGTAAATATGCCTGAGCCTAGAGAAAAACGAGATGAAAAAAAAAAACATTTGAAAATAAAAATGTGTCTATGACCAGCTGTCCACATAGTGATAAGAGTCACAATTTATGATACGAGGCGACAACTTATAATAACTGCTCCTAATATACTTTTTGTCATTAAAATAATCCTTCTACATCCCTTTTGGTTGTTTGACTGTGAGACACCTTTTCAGGACCACACAATAGTCATACCTTTACCTGGAAACTGTTAAAGAAAAATATTTTCAAACAAATATTTAACTTTATATAAACCCTGATTGTAATATTTATAATACTTATAGAGTAATAAGATAATATCTTTAACCCTCAAAACAACACCTGACAATTTTTCAAGACAATCAAGTATCAAATTAAAAAAAAATTATCCTCTTTTCCTTTCTTTATTTTTATTATGTTGGTCTGGCAACAACTATGCCATTATCTTTAAGTAAAAATTAATTTCCTAGAAAAATATTGAAAATGTTGTATAGATAAATCTCACATTATTTAAATACAGGTCTACCTGTTGGAATGGTTACTTTCACAACTAGCTTCAATTTCTAGCTCAGTAGTTTAAAAAAAAAAGGTTAAGAATAATTTCAGTTAGTCAATTTTGCTCCAGAAAAACCCTAGAAATCAAGGATACAAGTTCTGAGCTATCTGCTGGTCCTTTTTGCTGCAGTTTTTCCAACTTCTCCAACTGTTTTGCTTCACTTTTTGTGGCATTTTGGTTACTTCGCACACTGGACTGCAATCAGAAGATGTGATAAGTTATGTAGCCTTTTCTCATAAAAATAGAGAAATAAAATTAAATAATTTAATTTCATAAAAATTTAACACACTGGCTAACATTTAAAACTCACTTTCATATTTTTACAGATTTTTCCATATCGTGTGAGTGGCTTTAAAACTTTTTCTTCCAATCGTTGAACCTGATAAATAATGAGTCAACGTTTTTTATTTATTAACATTACTAATAGCCGAATAAAATTATTTGAATTTAAAGTATTTCATAGACTGGTTTATTAACATGCCAAAAAAAAAGCAAAAAAACAAAAGTTAGCTAAATTTCCAATTAACCTTGCATAGGAATTTATAGATGAAAAACATGGTTTGTTTTTTATGAAATTAAGCATTTAACAGACTAGTTTTTTAATCGGCCAAAAAACAAAATAAATTGTTTTTAGCTACAGAACAGGTTTTTAGTAAATTTTAGTAAATTAATTAATGTCCAATTAAACAAGCAGATAAATTTCTAGATTAAAAAGATAGGGTTTATTTTATATGAAGATGTGTACCGTAGCACATAAAAACCCAGCACAGGAACATTCTAGTTGACCAAGTTATGGGGCCCACTTAAAGAAGTTTAAATTATACATCAGTTACAAGCCACAATCAATGGGACTGGCATGCCAATGACATCCATATACACAAACCTCTGCATGTCTGTAATCTTGTACAGCTGAAAAGTTCTGTGCAAATGTAGTAAGATTTACTTTGGTAGACCCGTTAATTCTTTCATTATCAGCATATTCTTTTAAATGTTGTGAAAACAAATCTCCTGAAAAATTAATTAATAAAAAGGAATTATTGTAGAAAACAACATATTGCATTTTTAGACAAAGATATATAAACACTTCAAAATTGTAGCTAAAATTGGAAAGAGCCTTGAATTCTGCAAACAAAACTAAGATCTCAAATGTTTAGTTCGCTTTTAAACTGCTTGAATTGTAATTAGATAAGCAATATATAATTTATCCATGATAAATTATTTAATAATTTCATGACAAAACATTTAATAAATCTATTCCTATCTCACAATTAAAAAAAAAAAAAAAAAAAATTATTGCTAGTAATTAGCTCTAAACATATGATAAAATGAGGTGCTTTTACTGCCCAATAGAACTGACATGTTACAATTATTATTTTTAAATTTTACGGGAGATGAGTTAATTTAAGCTTAAGACTTAACTCTGACTTCTCTGAGTCTACAACTCTTTTATTATTCAGTTAATTTATAGACTGTGTCAGTCTGCAGGAAAATAATTGCATAATAACATACAAGTAATAGTGACAAAGCAAAATTGAGTGATACTGCAAGTGTCCTTGATTTATATGAGTCTTGAAAATTAAATTTGATTACAAAACTTCAACTAATTGACCTTTATCTCTCAATCTAGCAGATTTTCGAATGACCGATCCTAAGGTATCACACAAGAGACCATAGTATTTTTCAACCAGAGAAATCCTGCCTTGAGCAAATTTAACTTGGTCTTCCCTGAAGAAAAAAAAATTTAAAAAATCACAAAATTTATGTTTAACTTTGAATAAAATGTAGGAATGGGTCTATTTTAAGAATACAATCTATTAAGTTAAAATTTCAATTTCAATCATCTTGAATCTTGAAGTCATTAAAGTTGAAGTGATAATCAGTTACCCTACAAAATTTTTAAAATTTATAATGAAATAATTATACTAATTTTAAACTTTAATTATTGTGTTGTAGATTGTAGGAACTATGACAATGCCCATCCACTACTCATTATTATAAATTATAATATAATATTATAGTTAGAGGCCAAATTATTAAAATAACATTATTTTAAAATACTATACACTATACTGTAATTTAGTGTAATATGAGGTCCCATTTTGCTAAGGGAAGCCTTATCCACACAGCTCTGTGAATAACGTTGAGCGTTATCGGCAGACCGAGATCTGCAAATAACGCCGAGCGTTATCGGCAGACCAAAATCTGCGAATAATGCAGAGCGTTATTGTTAGACAGAAATGTTCCCATAATTACGCACATTTCTAGAAATAATTAAGATCACATTCCAAGCCGGGGTAGGGGTGTAGTTTAAAGTAGTGTAGGAGAGATCGATCGTTAATGAGAATGGCACAAACACATCTCAAAACCGAAGCTACCGGTATGCACAAGTTAAATTTAAAAAATGTAATAGGTCTAACTATAGCCTATATATTGGATATAGGACGATTAATTGTGCCTACATCTGCTCTGTTAGGGGCCAACATATTCGACCTATAGAGTGTTACTAATAGATCCAGTCAAACCTCCTACTCCTAGACATAGCTAATAATTTTCTGGTATTTCATATTAAATGTTATACCAGTAATAAATATAGTACCGGTATTCTTCATGTAGACTCACTTTCACCCACTGTAGAGATGTCTTTAAATGATGTCAAAGCTTGATAGGATATCGTTTAGTTTTTTTAAAGCACTATGATATATCACGTAGTCCAGAAAAGTTCTGACAGAAATAGTTGACATGCCGTGCAACAGTGTTATGATGCAGAGAGGTGTCTCCATCAGGCGGCCATCTGAGAGACGGGGTGGGGCATATATGCCCTACATCGATAATAACAGAATCTAATCCTGTTTAAGGCTAGTATTTTTTTCTGATCCTTGAGGGTGTCCCTAAGTCTACCCAGCTCTGGCCTTAGCTGGGGAAAAGTAAAGCTGGCTGGTTATTGCGCTGGCAATACACTCACACTTGTAAACGCTCCTTCAATTGCCCCAAGGGAACTTTACTTCCCCAAGACTCGCAATGCATCCTACGACCAGCAGGGTTCCAATTAATTTTTGTATGCTTTTTTTATATTTAGACCCATAGTTACAACAGTGGCAGTATGGCTTTTTGTTTCAATTATCAACATTTTTTTTACAAGAGCTAAAATTGTTGATGTCAATGATATTGATATGTTTTAAGTACGGTACCGGTATGTTCATTTCATTGTCATCACTAAATGTTATTTCAACTATTTCTGGAGCGGCATATTGTGTCCCTACTTATTATGATACTTATTAGAAAATAAAATGAAACAAATAAAACGTGACATATTTTTTCAGCTAAACATTAATACACAACTCTGAGATCTAAAATATTTGAATAAGTAAGCTATTAATAAGTATTTGTTTATTAGAGAAAAAACAAATGGATGTTAAAGTCTATGAGTGGAATAATACAAAGAAAATTAAACAGTCAAAAGAGCTAAAAGTATATCACAATGTACAGTTAGAACAGCTGTTTATGACTTAAACATGGTTTATGCGGCTCATCTGCATGTCCATGTTGTTTACAGCTTTTTGACAAAACTTGAGTGAACATTCTAACAAAATAGATTGAAACTTGTAACATAAGTAACAAAACTATATGAAAATAATAATAAAACTATGTGAACAGAATAAGAAAGCCATATGAAGAATATTATTATAATATAACACTACGAAATAACCATTAAATATATTTTTTTTAAAATTTTATTTATAAAAATGAGGCTTCCCCGACAGGGAATCGATCCTATGTCTGCCGGGTGACGGGCGGAGATACTGACCACTACACTGCCGAGGAGATCTTTACATACGAACTTTGTATTTTATATTCATAATTTAATTTATCACATTCTGCGAATAATGTCGAGCGTTATCGGCAGACCGAAATCTGTGAATAACGGCGAGCGTTATCCGCACAGCTCTGTGACTAATGACTTCGTTTTGCTAAATAGGTAGTAGGATGAGACTATAGGCATTTTGTATAACAGTATTCCTAATTACTTTACTATAAAACTTATTTAAGGCCATAGGTAGGCATAGGCTTTATTATATTATAGTTTATATGACTTATACTATAACTATATAATTAAAATTAGCCTACTAACTAAACTTTTTACTTTACTATTTCTAAACTTAAAATTATAAAATGTTGAAAGGCAAATAACAATAATTTTCAATGATGATAAATAATTTTGAGCTTGTTTTAGTTTGCTTGTTTTGCTAGATATTTTAAATAGCCAGGGCTGCATTTTGTTTTTATTTTTAAAAACCTAGACTTGGGCCAATTTCATCTAATGGCCATTGTTTACATTGGATACAACATCTAATACATTGTTACTGCTAAAAGTAAACATGTTAACATAATTATGCCAAGCTACAATGTGATGCTATATACAATAAAAGTTATTTCCCACCTCTTCGCAGCTACATTGCTACGTGAAGTCATCTTAATTGTAAAGAAACGCCTTTAAGTATTATGAATCGCCAAGAACAGACTTGCAAAATTATTGCAAAGCGGAAGTACACTTGAACAGAAAATGAGTTTCGCTAAAATATTTTAATTTAAAAAGAATACAATTGTTTTCGTACTGTTTTAGTTAATGTATGTAAAACAAACGAAATAGTAAAGTCACTTGTTTATTTAAGAAAGTGTGAGATAAAATTAGATGCAGTTAGATTAACCTATATTTAGTCACTATTAACCGGCCCAATCCCTTCACCAACTAAAATGCTTTTTGTATCCTTCCGGTCAAGTCTTTACTTCATAATTTAAATTTTAAAAATTGTGTACTACGATGGATATAATAGAAGAACAAGATAACAAACTTAAATGATGAGAGTATCTTTTAAAAACTGTATTAATAGATAAACATTAATTAATTACATAAATATGGATCTGACACAATACGCAGTATGAGCAGGTCACTAGGAAGGGGCCGTATAGTACGCCAATGTCAAGGGAAGGTTGACACCCTCACAGTCTAGTCACAGTAAAAGTGGGAGTGAGACAAAATGGAAATTGGTAATTTGAAAGATCTCAATAGATTCGTTTTCATGAAAGATCTAGTTTAAATATAAGGGAAGTGTGTCACTAAAAAGGGTGCAACGTAGTGCCACCAGGGCCACCAAGAAAAAAAACTTTACAGTTGGCCGAAATATATATATATATATGCATACAGAGGTGGAAACCAAACCCACCCCCCTGGACTTTGATCAATTCTGCAAGTATTGGATAGCAGTGTTTCTTCCAAACAATGTATTGTGGGAGGGGGGGGGGAATCAGATGTTCGGATTTCAGGGGCGTAGGCAAGGGGGGAAGGGGGGTAGGAGGCGATTCACCACCGGAGTCCCCTTTTATGGAGGAGCTTCATTTTCGGTTGACTGCAGGGCTTTCGTCGTGGAAGGGCTTCCAGGGTTCGTGGCAATATGCATACAGGGGTGGAAACCAAACCCACCCCCCGGGACTTTGATCAATTATGCAAGGATTGGATAGCAGTGTTTCTTCCAAACAATGGAGTGGGGGGGGGGGGGGGGAATCAGATGTTCGGATTTCAGGGGCGTAGGCAAAGGGGGAAGGGGGGTAGGAGGCGATTCACCACCGGAGTCCCCTTTTATGGAGGAGCTTCATTTTCGGTTGACTGCAGGGCTTTCGTCGTGGAAGGGCTTCCAGGGTTCGTGGCCCGTCCTGGTCGGCACTCATCCTAGCTACACAAACCCTTTGCCAGTGCATCTGTCAGTGTCAAAATCTGTCAAATTGACGACCAAGGCCAGCTGTGGTTCCGTTCCCCCGTTTAATATAAAATAAATTCATTCAATTTGTGACACCCCCTAGGGAAGCGGCTACTAACCTCTCTTTTTTTTTCTCCCGTCCTCCTTGATTAGACTTTTAGTGAAATATGGCCACTCCAATGGGAAGATGTTTAAAAAATAAATGTTGCCGTTTTCCGTAAATATCAATATAATTTTTGCATACCCTTAAACGGTGCCCTCAGGGTTTCACTTAACAGAGATATTGGGCCGCTCTCTTATGGTAAATGCTTTTAGGCCCCAACTAAAACTGTGTTTTTTTAGTTAAAAAGGTGACGAGACTATCATTTTCTGTGGCGGGCTAAGACAGGTATATACATAAATAATGTACAATTTAAATACATTTCATGCAAATTTTTTTTTTAAAAGGGCGTTTGCGCAAAATGTCTTAGTCTGTGTTTGTCCTTAAATCAAAAGCAGAACTCTAATGTCTTACCACAGCAAATTATTTGTGAGCTATTTAAACATCATTTGAGATTGCAAATAGAAACGAAGACATTCGTTTACCACAAATCACCTTTTTCATCTCCCACCTCAGAAGCTCATTGTCTTTGTGTCGCTATCAGGGGCGTAGGGAAGGGGGTTGGTGGTGGTTGTCCTCTCCGGGGGGGGGGGGGCGGCGGCGAAATTATTGGCCCGCCCTTGGTGGCACTAACCCTAGTTACGCCGCTTATCGTAATGTTTAATTTTTGTCAACATTTGTTATATAAGCCAATCTTTGCTCACTGGCCTAAAAAGGGATCCCGGGGCGAGAAACACTGTAACAAAGTGCAGGGGCCTCATGCCACTCCATTTGACTAGAATTTGAGAAACACTGTCACAAAATCCAGGTGCCCATGCCACCCCACGTTACTACAATTTGAGAAACACTGTCACAAAATCCAGGGGCCCATGTCATTCCACCAAACTAAAATTAGAGAAAAAACGGTCACAAAGTCCAGGCGCCCATGCCACTCCATGTGACTACAATTTGAGAAACACTGTCCCTCAGAAAAAAAAATAATTATTTGAAAATTCTTTATTATCAGCATGACTGACGCGTCGACAGTGAAAATGCTTGGCTTGAAATCTAATGCAAATAAACGCGTACCTGGGTCACATATGAGTGTGTGGCTTGTGCAGAGTTCAGCAGTGTGCACTTTACAGGCTTCGGCTACACAAGCTCCCCAAGTTGAACCAGATTAAAAAGAACCTACTTTTTGTGCTTAAAAAGAGCAAGTCGAAGTTATAAGCATAGCGCTTTTATACGAATTCCCCTCTTGACCGCCATTTTTTTTCATTGGCTTGTCCAAAACAAGAAAACCATTTATTATGTGAAATACGCAATTTTCCAAACGTAGCAACTGTATTACTTTCCAAACGTAGCAACTGTATTACTTTCCGAATGAGGCAACTTCATTATTTTCCAAATGTAGCAACTTTATTTCTCTCCAAATTTAGCAAATTCATTATTTTCCAAATGTAGCAACTTCATTATTTGCCAAATGTAGCTATTTTATTATTTTACAAATGTAGCAACTTCATTACTTTCCAAATGTAGCAAATTCATTACTTTCCAAATGTAGCAACTGCAATACTTTCCAAATGCAGCAACTGCAATACTTTCCAAATGTAGCAACTGCATTGCTTCCGTTCATCAACCGATACTTACCGATGAGTACTCTGTTGGAAAGAAGGATGCCGCACAGAACATATTACAAATAATATCTAAATCAGAAACAGCTTTGAAGGCTGTTGAAATGAACAACAGAACTAGACTGCATGTTTGGCAAACTATAGGATGAAGTGTGTTTGAGGCCCAAGCATCAGGCCCGCACGAGCTGGTATCAGGCCCGCACGAGCTGGTATCAGGCCGCACGAGCTGGTATCAGGCCCGCATGCTTTGTTGACGAAACATTTCGATTTCACCAAGATTTTGAAACTGTTTCAGGTATTTTTCAATCTTGCTAAAGCTGCTTTTACCGTTGGTGATTTCTGCCTTCACTTCTTTTGAACTGACCACATCTGCTGCTACTTTTGGTCATTTTGGGTCCGCTTCTTCATAGCAGCGTAACTATGGTTATTGTTGCCCGAGATGAGCCACGATTTTCGCCCCCCCTACTCCCGCCACCCACCACACCCCCCTCACGTAAAAAAACCTCTCGAAAAAGCCGACCCTTAACACTTATAGTTAGCAATTGATTTTAATAAACACATGTAATCAATCAGAGAATGTAGGAAGGGTACCGAGAGGATACAACTATTTTGAATAAGGTGCCCACTAAAGAAAAGGGTTGATAACCCCCTTCCCCCCACTAACTTAGGGATTGTAACTTACATTTATCTTTGAACTATCGGGAGATTATTTTTATATCGTTTTTTTAAATGTTTGAACTGTAGCATTCAAATCTTACGACTTTTTTGCATTTATGCACTGAACCCCCCCCCCACCCCCCACACACACACACACATTCGCTGTACAGCAGTAACAATTTCTTCTTAGCTTCTATAGAGATAGAGCTTGTTTCTTATAACAGAGAACTCCTTATTCAGAATTTGGACAACCTCAAATCAGTAGTACATTAGAAATAGATCTGGCATAGTTTGTGAAAAAAAGGGGCTCTTGACGTAGAAGCAACATTTCGAAATAGCCATTCACGGGGATACAAGAAAGTCCTGGCAGTTTCGCAACTCAAGTTTGCATATTGATAGCCCAAAAATAGATTAAATAGCTTTGTATACGTAAAAAGTCAGACGGCATCGATACATTGAAAACTGCAAGACCCAACTTTAGAGTTAATTTTTTTTATTTGAAAAAAACAACAACCTATTCGTTACGTTAGAGTCCTTTTGGTATCGATACCACCTAAAAATACTCTAGCAAGATCCGAAGGTAACTATAAGAAGTGGACCAAAGATTTTTAGCTGTTTGTGATATTTGGTGAAAAAGGGGGGGGGGGTGGTCTGTGGGGGGGGTGGAAAGGGGGAAGGTTAAAAAAAAAATCAACATATTACCAATTACGTAAAACTCAAGTTAAAGGTTACTGATAAGTTTTGTTAGTTAAACTTCGATGTAGACATTTTCATGGTCCGTGTTCTCCCGCGAGTAAGTATAAAAGCAGCTACAGATTCTTGTATGAATCCTAGAAGTAGGAGTGTTTTTATTTTTTCTCATGTTTTAGATCGTAATATGAAGAAGGTTTGATCTCAGAAGTAAATTTTAAAGAACAAAACAAATGTTTACGTAATCGCAGTTTTGTGGATCGAATGTCATGAATGTTTGAATCGATCAAAAGCTCTTGTGAAGAAATCGTGAAGGAAAATATTTCCATTTGGTAAGACGTTGAAATATTTGTTTTGGCAAGTTATTTCAAGGCAGCAATTCGTAGTAGATGCTTCTGTGGTGAATTTTTCCTATGTGAAAATAGTCTTGTTATTTCTATGTTAAGATGACATTGGTTAATTATAAGAGTTTTTGAAGAAAAAAATGAAGTGAAATAAAAATAATGATTTCGGCACCAGTAATAATAATAATAATAATAATATTAATAATAATAATAATATTTTATACTTAAATCTTTTTATCAAGTTGTGCGATTGCCACAAGTCTTTCAGAGGAAAAAAAAATATGTAATTTTAATTTTAAAAAAATAATAACAATGAAGTATCAGAATAACAGAGACTGTGTGTTTGCAGACTATTTGATTCAAATTTTTTTTTTTTGGGGGGGGGGGGGGAACATGGTGGTGGGGGGGAATTACAATATCGGCATATCTACGCATTGGTTTTGTGTCCACATGAAACATTAATACAATACATTAGCATGTAATATACCGTATTGTCGTATGCTAGGTTTATTGATAAAAAATTTAATTATGGGAAAAAAAAAATAATTATCTTTTATTTTTGTTTGTGCGAATTACAGGTTTAAATAATCGTAACAAAAGTGAACCCTTAATAAAGTTTAATTAAAAGAAAGTCAATATGTCAAATTTCCCATGGGGTCTTCAGAGGCGTAGCAAAGGGGTGGGGCAGAAGGGACAGACGTCCACGGGCTCCAGCAGGCTAGGGGTGAACAAAATGTGCTTTGATATTATTTTATTGATGGAAAAAATGGGTTTGGGAGTTGAAAAAAGAAAAAAAGGGCGCTTTAAAATGACTCTTGTCCCCGGGCGCCAAACACTCTAGCTGCGCCTCTTGGGCTCTGGCTACGTAATTGATGAGCGCACAGGCGTACAGCCGAACTAGAATAGTTTATCATAATGACATTTATTTATAGCACCTCTCAAAGAACATATTCATTTCGCATTATGTGATTATTATCAACATTATTTTTAATAATTTCAAAAAAAAAAGCACTAAACATGTTTAAATTAAATTGCATTTAAAACACTGTTTAAAATTCATTTATATTTCAATTAATTTTTTTTTTTTAAATCAAGAAATGTCCAAGTATGAAGAGCAACGTTTTGTTGAAGGTGCCAAGAGGGATCACTCCTACACTAATTATGGCTTTACATCAAATTCACAACCCGGTTTATATAATACTAGAACCTCTGGATATAACAGAAGTGACGCTGTGAATTTTCCAACCGCATATATCGCTCAAAATCAAAACCAGAATGATACGTCTAATTACAGTGACTACGGTAACTGCTACACTCCAACATTAGACGCCACCATCAGACATACGGAGAACGTCAGACTTACGGAGAACGTCAGACATACAGAGAACTTCAGACATACGGAGAACGTCAGACATACAGAGAACTTAGGTACAAACAGCGGCGATACTCGGGGGGAATATAATGAACTCACTAATCAGAGCACTGCAAAGGGTGGTCACCGGGTCAATGAAGACACACATTCGACACACCCCAACAGTCATCGCCATGATGTGGAGCAGCTGCACGCACGCAGAGAGCAGAACAGGGTGAGTGAATGTTTGTGGTAGTGGCAAAGAGTGCAATCCAGGCATTCCGTAGAGTGCCAGATGCTTCCAGTCAAAGTGTAAAATGCATGACATTATACACATCGAACAGCAATTCTATAGAATGCCAGCTTGACTTTGGCAAAGTATATTTTATAATCAATAAAAGGGCATTCGAGTTTTTACTCAACAAAAAATTATCAGTAGGGGCAGAAGTCTCTAAATGTCTTGTCAGAAGTCTTTAAATGTCCTGTCAGAAGTCTCTAAATGTCTTGTCAGAAGTCTCTAAATGTCTTGTTTGATTTCTGTAAATGTCCAGTCAGAAGTTTCCAAATGTCCAGTCAGAAGTCTCTAAATGTCTTGTCAGGAGTCTCATAATGTCTTTTCAGAAGTCTCTAAATGTTTATCAGAAGTCTCTGAATGTCCTGTCAGAAGTCTCATAATTTCTATCAGAAGTCTCTAAATGTCTATCAGAAGTCTCTGAATGTCCTGTCAGAAGTCTCTAAATATCCTGTCAGAAGTCTCTAAATGTCTTGTCAGAAGTCTCTAAAGTCTTGTCAGAAGTCTCCAAACGTCTTGTCATAAGTCTCTAAATGTCTTGTCAGAAGTCTAATAATTTCTATCAGAAGTCTCTAAATGTCTATCAGAAGTCTCTGAATGTCCTGTCAGAATACTCTAAATGTCTTGTCAGAAGTCTCTAAATGTCTTGTCATAAGTCTCTAAATGTCTTGTCAGAAGTCTCTAAATGTCCTGTCAGAAGTCTCTAAATTTCTTGTCAGAAGTCTCCAAATGTCTTGTCATAAGTCTCTAAATGTCTTGTCAGAAGTCTCCAAATGTCTTGTCAGATGTCTCTAAATGTCTTGTCAGAAGTCTCTAAATGTCTTGTCAGAAGTCTCTAAATGTCCTGTCATAAGTCTCTAAATGTCTTGTCATAAGTCTCTAAATGTCTTGTCAGAAGTCTCTAAATGTCCTGTCATAAGTCTCTAAATGTCTTGTCATAAGTCTCTAAATGTCTTGTCATAAGTCTCTAAATGTCCTGTCAGAAGTCTCTAAATTTCTTGTCAGAAGTCTCCAAATGTCTTGTCATAAGTCTCTAAATGTCTTGTCAGAAGTCTCCAAATGTCTTGTCAGATGTCTCTAAATGTCTTGTCAGAAGTCTCTAAATGTCTTGTCAGAAGTCTCTAAATGTCCTGTCATAAGTCTCTAAATGTCTTGTCATAAGTCTCTAAATGTCTTGTCAGAAGTCTCTAAATGTCCTGTCATAAGTCTCTAAATGTCTTGTCATAAGTCTCTAAATGTCTTGTCATAAGTCTCTAAATGTCTTGTCATAAGTCTCTAAATGTCTTGTCAGAAGTCTCTAAATATCCTGTCAGAAGTCTCTAAATGTCTTGTCATAAGTCTCTAAATGTCTTGTCAGAAGTCTAATAATTTCTATCAGAAGTCTCTAAATGTCTATCAGAAGTCTCTGAATGTCCTGTCAGAATACTCTAAATGTCTTGTCATAAGTCTCTAAATGTCTTGTCAGAAGTCTCCAAATGTCTTGTCAGAAGTCTCTAAATGTCTTGTCAGAAGTCTCTAAATGTCTTGTCAGAAGTCTCTAAATGTCCTGTCATAAGTCTCTAAATGTCTTGTCATAAGTCTCTAAATGTCTTGTCATAAGTCTCTAAATGTCTTGTCATAAGTCTCTAAATGTCTTGTCAGAAGTCTCTAAATATCCTGTCAGAAGTCTCTAAATGTCTTGTCATAAGTCTCTAAATGTCTTGTCAGAAGTCTAATAATTTCTATCAGAAGTCTCTAAATGTCTATCAGAAGTCTCTGAATGTCCTGTCAGAATACTCTAAATGTCTTGTCATAAGTCTCTAAATGTCTTGTCAGAAGTCTCCAAATGTCTTGTCAGAAGTCTCTAAATGTCTTGTCAGAAGTCTCTAAATGTCTTGTCAGAAGTCTCTAAATGTCCTGTCATAAGTCTCTAAATGTCTTGTCATAAGTCTCTAAATGTCTTGTCATAAGTCTCTAAATGTCTTGTCATAAGTCTCTAAATGTCTTGTCATAAGTCTCTAAATGTGCTTCAAAATTTTGTATGAACGCACAATTTTATGCATGATATTTTTTTTTTTGACAAATATGAGAATTTGATAAAATAATAATTTGAAAGTTGTGTCAAGGCTTCATGCAAAAATCGCATCAAATGTATAAACAAAATTTGAAAGCAAATTTTTGATCGTGTGAACTGAGCCTAAGGCATTTTCAGGAACAAGGCATTTACAAAAAAAATGTTTGTATTGCTATAACCTTAAAATCTAGACCTGCTCATCTAGTGACAATTTCTATGGAATGAGACATCGTTTGTATTCTGAACTGAGCAAAACTCGACGTGTTGCTGCCTAGAACATTTCATATTTTCGAACTGACGAACGTTATCAACAGTTGGTGGATCAAGTGAATCCTTGATAAAACGGCAGAAAAGAAGACACCTCACCACCACTGGTTGCTGAAAAGATACGATGTTGTGTTTATCATGAAGACGGTACAGGAAAGATGTACTAGTGTTCAGTACAATCTGGTTGACAGAGAGCTGTTTGAAGAACTGCACTAAATGCAATTATCAAGAGGCCCTGGTGGACGTGATCGGATGGGTATGGAGCTCTCAGTCAAGCTCTCAGTCAAGTACAGTGATAGTAATCGGTGTTGATATTTTAGTGTTATTCCTTCAGCTCTGCACATTGTGACAACAGAAACGGTGCCAAAAAAAAAAAAAAAAAAGAAGCAACCGCTGTTAAACCATGAACCGATCATCTCCCATGATTGAACCGATCATCTCCCATGATTGAACCGATCATCTCCCATGATTGAACCGATCATCTCCCATGATTGAACCGATCATCTCCCATGATTGAACCGATCATCTCCCATGATTGAACCGATCATCTCCCATGATTGAACCGATCATCTCCCATGATTGAACCGATCATCTCCCATGATTGAACCGATCATCTCCCGTGATTTGAATTCTCGTTGTCAAGTTGAATTAATTGTTTTCATAGTTACCCGGATGGACGCATCAAATTTATACTTGTCTACAGGACCATTTAATAAAATTTGTTGTACTCGAAGCATTTAGATCCAAGCGGTCTGAAGCGGTAGCCAACCATTTGATTGACATTTTTACACCTCTTGGTGCACCATCTGTCTGGTGGGAATTTTCCAATCGATTTCTTTCTAGCATTATTTCTTTCTAGATTATTGAACACAGTTTGAGATTGTGCATGGTAAGGCTCGTCATAGCCAAAGTCACGGGAATTTAGAATATGCCAATCAAGAATTTTGAATACATTGGTGCAACACAGTGCAATATAAACAATCTTTCTTCCCAAGCACAATAAGAGCTTGGAACCACCTGAACAATGCCGCTGTGAACTCGACATCGGTCGAAAGCTTCAAGGCTGCCATGGAATCTGGTAAGAGCTGTTAGACTAGCAACACCATTCCCCCAACCGTTGCACAGATGCCAGTGTATGGATGCAGCAACGACCACTACCAGAACCAGAAACAGAACATGCTGACGACAAGGATGCAAGATGAGAACAGCAGCATTCGTCTATGGTATATTCAGTAAATGAAAAACGAGGCCTATCATGCTGATAGCAAAATGTCTTCCTGTGAGGCTCTCTTTTGGTGCAGAGTAAAGATTGGGGTTAAACACGTCAAATCTACGTCAATACGTTTTGTAGATCATCCTGAGGGAGAAAGACTCGCATGAGAGTGTTGAGTCAATTTCCCAATCAACTAATGCTCTTTCTACAGCCCCTCAAGCCTCTACTGAGCTTTTTATCCACACCAGCTTAAAACACGTTTGCTTGTTGAAGAGCCTACAGGCGATTCGTTCGTGCAAACTCAAGTAGCTAAGCAAGGTGAAGATACGACATGCTCTACTTCTAAACAACGACATAAATCTGCAGACTCTACCCCAACTCCACAATTATCTATATGTGCTACACGAGGTGAATAATCTGCATATAAAACATCTACATTAACAGATGCCATACATGTTGCGTGTGCTTGAAGGCTTCAAGTTGAGCACATCGGTGTACAATCTGTGAGGGTAGCATTCATGTCATAAGAGGTAATTGTCCTCATAGCGAAGACATAGTGCCCCTGTGTTGTGTCTAGTGGAGGAACACAGTGCCGATGTGGTGTGTCTAGCGGAGGGACACAACCCATGTGGTGTGTCTAGCGGAGGGACACAGTGCCCATGTAATGTGTCTAGTGGAGGGACACATAACCCATGTGTTGTGTCTAGTGGAGGGACACAGAGCCCATGTGGTGTGTCTAGTGGAGTGACACAGAACCAATGTGGTGTGTCTAGTGGAGGGACACAGAGCACATGTGGTGTGTCTAGTGGAGTGACACAGAACCAATGTGGTGTGTCTAGCGGAGGGACACAGAGCCCATGTGGTGTGTCTAGTGGCGGGACACAACCCATGTGGTGTGTCTAGCGGAGGGATACAGTGCCCATGTAATGTGTCTAGTGGAGGGTCACAGAGCCCATGTGGTGTGTCTAGTGGAGGGACACAGTGCTCATGTAATGTGTCTAGTGGAGGGACACGGTGCCCATGTGTTATGTCTAGTGGAGGGAAACAGTGCCCATGTAATGTGTCTATTAGAAGGACACAGTGCCCCTGTGTTGTGTCTAGTGGTCGGACACAGTGCCAATGTGTTGTGTCTAGTGGAGGGACACAGTGCCAATGTTTTGTGTCTAGTGGAGGGACTCTGTGCCCATGTGTTGTGTCTAGTGGAGGGACTTAGTGCCCATGTGTTGTGTCTAGTGGAGGGACACAGTGCCGATGTGTTGTGTCTAGTGGAGGGACTCAGTGCACATGTGTTGTGTCTAGTAATGTTGTGTCTAGTGGAGGGACACAGTGCCAATGTTTTGTGTCTAGTGGAGGGACTCAGTGCCCATGTGTTGTGTCTAGTGGAGGGACATAGTGCCCATGTGTTGTGTCTAGTGGAGGGACACAGTGCCG